CCCATCCCCCCTGTCCATCCGCCAGCCTTTGTGCCGGGCATTCCCTCTCCCCTCCCCGGAATTGCCAATCCAGGTCACAGGGGAGGCCGCTGGGGTGGGGGCTGGGCTTCTGGGGCTGCCCCTTCCCCTTAACCCCTGCTTTGCCACAGCCTGCTCAGGCCCCGCCCCCTGACGTCAGCGAGCAGGAAGTCCTGGTTAATGATCAGCCCACCTGGACAGGTGCGGGACAAGGCCCGGCACATCAGAGGCGGCCGCGGGGGGAGCGCTTTCCACCCTGCCCGTCAGGGTGCTGGGATGGTCTCCCCGGATGCACACGAGGAACCAGTTCAGGCTGCCCGAGCGCCTCCCTCTTGCGCGCTTGGGCTCCATGAGGCCCGAGGCAGCCAAGGACCCTGTTGGTGTGACCCACAGCCGTCAGCCTCCCTCCCCGGGAAGTCCATCTAGCAGCCCCCCCCAATTCTGACTCTGCCCGCAAGCCTTGCTACCCACCCTCTGAAGCCTCCTGCTGCCCCTTTCCCGCCCCTCATGGGCGGAGTCCTCCTCCCCACATTCTGGGTGAATACAGGGGAAGGACCAGAAAAGAAACCTAATTCCCAAGCGTGGCTATGGCTCCCGTGCAACAGCCGTCTCCTCTGAGCCTGTCCTGTCACCTGAAAAGCAGGCGATGGCTAGACGGTCTGACCAGCCGCCAGCACTGGCCAAGATCGCCAGCGGGCCTGCCCGGGTGGAGAGCGCCACCTGGAGGACACATTCAACATCCGCCCTGCAGGACCAGCTCCGTCCCGCAGAGGGCGCAGCAGCTCACAAACTAAGGGACCAAGAAGGAAAAAACCCATTTTTCGGTTTATTGAAGGAGGAAAGGGGGCAGGAGAGGGGAGCAATAAAATGCTTTTGCTTCATTTATAAAGAGCGACATTTCCGGGAGGCCCTTCTCAAGGAGGACGGGCCGCCTCTTCCCCAACTACGAGCAGCAGCAAAGCTAAGCCAAGGAGGGGAGAGGGAAATCGGAGGGGCCAAGGGACCCCAAACACCCCCCTCAGACAGAAGCCACGAGCTTTCTCCCCCCACCCTCAATGCGTCTACCCCAGGGACCCCTCTGGGAGGAGGAAGGGAGTATGTACACAGTGGGGGTGGCACTGGGCTGGGGAAGGGAGGGAATAATTTATCCGCAGCAGCGGGGGGCGGCAAGGGGACGGGGCAGTAGACTGGTGGCAGTGGTGGCCTAGGGGTCCCGTTCTTTCTTAACCTTGATGTCTCCAGCGAGGATGGTGGCGATCTCGCCCTGCATGAAGGCCCAGGGGACAGAGGAGCCTACCAGCGGGCACTTGTCTCCGCTGGGGCAGTACACCTCACCCGCAGGGCCCTGCGCCTTGATGAACTCTCTCGAGCAGGGAAAGCAGAACTTGTGTCCGGGCACTGAGGGGCACTGGACGAAGTGGGTGTCTTCCAGCCGCTCCCGGCAGAGGGTACAGCACAGGGGGGCTCCAGGGGTCGCCCCGGTGCCGCTACCACCCCCGCTCACAGCTTCTGCCCCGGCGGTCGGGCTGACTTCGGCATCGCCATTTCGGGCCACTAGGCGATGCTGGGCTACCGGCTGGGCCGTGGAGGAGGCCGCTGGGCTGGCACCCCCTGCACGCCCGGGGCCCCCACCCCCACTGGGGTCCTTGGGGGAGTGGCCCAGAGCTTCAGCCACGTTCTTCAGGGCAGCGATGGGCGAGGGCATCCCGGGGGTCTCGGCAGAGAACGGGCCACCCGGGGCCACCCAGTGTCGCTGCTGCTGCTGCTGCTGCTCCTCGGTGGTCATCTTCCCGGCCGCCTCGCCCTCGGGCTCA